CTAAGAAAAACAACAGATATCTATAGGGAATAGTTTTAAAAGCAGTATAAGTATATTTGTATCGCGCGTGCATTTGTTGTGTGTAGGACAATACAACCATAAATATGAACTTTACAAAAACGGGATGCTTTGAAAATGCGATGTTTGTAATGTGATTGCGTGAAAAAACGATATTGGTATCATATAACAAGATTTCTTTCATCACACATGTGACAAAATATATTGCACTGTCAAAGTGAATCAGGAATTCAATTTGTTTGCAGGACATGTCGCCTGTCTGATTATGTAAAATTCCAGACTTAGCAAATGCGAATATTCCGTGCTATATTAATGCAATATAATCAAATTTCTTTTTTGTGTATATTTCTAACTCAAAAGTACTGACACATATTTATTTTCATCATAATGTAACAATTACTATAAATTTATTGCTTTACTTGGACTTCAGGTTGTGTGAATGACTGATATATTTATCTCTTTATGTCAGATGTCATTATGTACAAGTGTGTTGTTATTTTTCAAATCTCTAATTGTGAATTCTTTATGCCTTTATTGATAAACATCTTTTGATTAACTACCTAAAGCTCGGAGAAAAATATTGCTCTAAAATAAATACTTTTTAAATTGCTAAATACGTGGTTACTACTGTTCATTCGTTGAAAAAAGATAAATGCATTGATGTCTATCACAGTATATCTACAAAACAAATTTGCCCCTAAAAAGCACTCGTTCTGTACTAACGCATACGTTAATGGCTAATAAAATCATTTGCCATTGTGTTTTAATATGTTTCATGCTATAAATATACAATTGCAGTTACAAATTTCGGATACACATTTTAGCCAAAACACATGCAAACTAGAAATGTGTGTGCTCTGAATAACATACTATCCTTCTATTAGATATATATAAAATATATGTATTCCGGATAAAGGCCGTTCATTTAAAAATGCATTCAATACGATTGTTCAGCATTTATATATCCTTGCCAAACATTCAATTACGTATGCATGATGGGGACATAACAAAAATGGAAGATAACAAAACGAAAATTACCTAAAAGTGAAAATGAATGCTGTGGCACTTTTACAATATGTCTAGACAGTTAATTACGTGACGGTAGATGACTACATTTTATTGGTGGACATAAACATGTATAAACACGTATTGTCCTCATCTTTGTGCGACGAAAGAGAGTATTGTTTACCAGATGAGTAGTCATTTGCAGTTTTGGGGATCGCTGAGTTCAAACAACTTGCACCTCATCTCTGCGGGTTCGAATCCCGACAGAGGTTTTGAATTTTTTATGTGAAGAAGCTATCCAGAAAGCTTGCGGAATGTCAGTGGTTTTACTCTGAACTGTTGTATGTTCCTGTCTGAAATAATGCACGAACAGGCACCCGAGGTCTTGTTTCAAGAGTAAAGTTAGAAAGTCGCCACATGACATATACTGTGTTGGTGCGACGTAAACCGAACCAAAACAATCCCGGCTTTTGTATTTCAGACAATATATAATTTCCATTCCAAAACTTTAACATTGCAGTTTGTTTTCATCAACTTATTTTTGAAATTTGTTGTCTTTTTTTTCAAATCAAACAATGAATAGGCGAATCAAATAGCTACTCATTTCTTAATCAAAAGATTTGTAAAACTACATTTTACTTGAAATAAATAAATCTAACGGTTTCATATTGTCACAAGGGATTTTAGTCTATGATACAAAATCAGTTATGGCAAAAACTGCATGGGTTACTTGGAAATGATAACTATATGGAGTTTTGTACATTTATTATAGCACAAATAATCAGTTACTTAAAATGTTCAGCGGTATTGTTTCATTTTATGCGATAGGCAAGACAGTAATTCAATCTTATATCTCTTTTATAAAATTCATTGAAAGATTATATAATATTTATCTTGATTTCTTACAATTGATCAATATTATTATTTACATGTGTTTAAAAATTAAATATTAAGTGCATTATATTAATGTGTGTATATTTTTTAATATCTATGATTTTCATACTGTAACCATAGATACGAGTATTCTGTAATTATTTACATTGCTAATATTTTTCTTGTTCCATAATAATTGCATAATTTTAAAAATGTGCTTTTCTTTTGGAGGAAATACATTATTTGTAAATATATTATTACTACAAAAAGCAATTACTTTTCCAGCATTTTTAGCGCCGATAAATTGAGCTTCGTTTCCGAAAACAGCAGGTGTAAGACCACTAATTGCCGTTCCGTACCGTAGTTATAAGACTCGAGACCAGACGGCTGATAGTATATTCCATCGTCTGTGCATTTAATGTAAGTATAATCGTCCCAGCGAAATTTGTGTTTTCATTTCAAATTTTATTAAACCTTCCTGAATGTTTTGACAACAATTGAAAAGTTTGTTCCCTAAATATGTATCTTAAGTTCCTTAAATAATAATTTGAGATGACAGCTTGGATTGATGTAGATAGAATGCAATTTATTCGAAACTGATATGTACTCAGTATTTTATCTTGTATACATCTTGGATAAGAAATAACTGACAAAAAAGTATTTTAACCTTTTTGTCATAATTGATGACTACATACATAAAATGGTTTAAATTAATTTATTGTCAGTTGAATGCTTTTTTTGTTCAAATTAATCAAAATGGTTTGTATAGTTTTGTTACTTTCAGATTTATTATAAATACACTGAGTGAAGATTTGTTTGAAACCAGCAAAAGTGAAAGTGGAGATAGTGAGGCTGATAGTGAAACATACCATTTGCATATCATAGTTCCAGGGGCAGAATCTGTCATTGAAGTATATGGTTATTAATTTTTCACAAAGTATATTTTGTTTGAGCACAACTATGAGCAGCTACTTTTTTGTATTTTTTTTTATTCAAAATGAGTAATTAAGTGGGCAAAATATGACTGTGAAATACTTGCTTTTCAATATAATAGATAATGCTCTTCTGGATAAAATTTATTTAATGATAACACTAATTCATTTTCTATTATAAATCTACTATGTAATGATGGTCTGGCCCCGGTTTCACAAAGATACTTAAGTCTGTTGTATTGACTTAAACTCAATTACGTACTCATTTTACAACTTAAGTTGAGTAACAATTTGAGTTGTGTTTCACGAAACGTTTTAATCAACTCATCAAAATGCTCCAAGGCTTTTGAGTTGAGTCTCACAATTTGAGGGACAGCTAAGAAGCTACCTTAAATTACTACTCAAATATGGCAGACTTTATGAGACGCATCGAGCGTATTCGCAGACACCACCGTTTAAATACTGCTGTCGAGAGATTTATACCTGACAGAATTAATCCATTGGAATTTCTGTCACGTACAGAAGTGAGGGAACGATATCGATTCGAACCAGAGTCCATACTCTTCATGCTACAGCTCATTTCCAATTCTATAGAGTTTGACACGTTCAGATCGTCACCCCTCCCACCCATTATTTCTCTTCTTGTGACGCTGAATTTTTTCGCTAGCGGGGCGCATTATTTAATTATTGGAGACAGGCATGGCGTTTCTAAGTCCTCGGTATCAAGGCCATCAAGAGAACCTCAACAGCCATATGTTCTCTAAGGGAGAGATACATCCATTTCCCTTCTAACCACGACATTCCAGCCTGTACAACGGGAGTTCTACAACATTGCAAGTAAGTAATACTTCCAGCCACACGATTGGTTGAGTGCGTCTCCAATGTAAAACAATGCAGAAATGAAAATCCGGGCTCCGGAATTCCGGACTACTGGTTCCGATAAAACCATTTAATGATGAATGTATTTTGTCCTCATAAATGATTATAATATAAATAAATAATTGGTTATATCTAGTTACTCATCAGTAACCCAAGTTATATATTTAAATCATACTGTACACATCATATTTACATGTACTTGTGTGTATTTTGATAATTGTAAAATAAAATACTGATTTAAAGAAAATTAAATATTAGAAAAACCATGGGACTGGCCTACCTAGTAAGTTAATGTTTCAGAATGCTCACCAATCCACCTTTGTATATATGTATACTGGTCTGTCCTATTATCTTAATAATCATAGTTATTTTTTGAATGATGCATAGTACCATATATATGTAATAAATTTATATACATGTACAGATGAGTAGATCATATTTGTTCCATAAATTACAGTAAAAAGCTGTTATTACTCAAAAGCAAAAATAACATGGTATAAGAAATCAATTAAGCACAAGTCCATTTAATTAGATTTCATCCCATGTGAAATGCATGTACTAAAGGAAAAAGGCCCATTCTAGTGTGCCAACATTTAAAACCCATACTTAACCAATTAAACAGTTCAATGAATGGGTCCAATACACATACAATGTATGCATATGAGCTGAATATGGAAAAGTGCATACAGGTCCTATACATGTTTTCCATATCAAAGAAGGTAGTTATTTAAATTTATTTAAGTTTTCTTTAGAAATAAAGAAGAATGTAATTTAACACTCACCTTAATAAAAATTATAAATGAAATAAACCAAAGGCAAAATAAATTATGTAAAAGCATCAACAGAATGAATGTGATTGAAAAACTTAAAGTAAAATAATGATTGAAATTTTGTATTTATGTCCAGACACATTAAAAAGAGGAAAATTAAGACAATTTCAAGACAACCAACATGAGCTTGAACCTTTGTTTCTTGCTTTTGTTAACTCATAAGTGCTTTATATTTGTATCAGTACAGCAAAGTAGAACAAACTTATTGATATATTAATGTTTTTGAAAATGGACTGCCCATATGGCACCTGGATGTACTTTCCATATTGGCTCCATGTGTGCAACTGAACATAGGTCTTAAGTATGATCCCATTTATATTAACAGTTTACTACCTGGGTATTTTCAGATGATGAACTTCAACTAAATCAAAATTCAAAATGTAATTAATTAAACAAATTAATTGATATGAACCAAGCATGTGTTTCAATAAAAATGAAAATTTCTATATGAATTTTCAAACCATTTCAAAGTGCCACAAATTAAACAGATGAATATTGTAAATTTACTGTGCTTATTTCATGGTCGACATAACTTTCATTTACATTGTATATTACAGAGTTTCCAAAAGTGGTTGGAGTAATTGATGGAACCCAGATTAGAATAAAAGGACCCAGTGAGAATGAAACAGATTTTGTCAACAGAAAGGGTTATCATTCTATAAATGTACAGGTAATATAACCAATAAAGTGTGTCATGCACCATTATTTTTGATTCTTTAGATAATTAATACTAAAAGCTGATAAACAAATTTCTTTAAAGTAAAATTAGTGAACAAGTCTTAATTTAAATTCTCAACTGTAGACATAAATAACTCAAATTGTCTATAAGCATTATTATTAGGGAACAGCTGTTGATAAATGTATGTCCAGGTTACATGTATCTATTTCAGATGGTGTGTGATTCAAGATTCAGAGTAACGAATGTTGTGGCAAAGTGGCCAGGGAGTGTGCATGACAGTCGAATTTTTAGGGAATCAGAACTGTGTAGAAAGTTTGAGAATGGTAAAGTATTTATTTTGTTTTCTAAAATAACAATGTTAATTCAGTAGCTTTCTTTTTTTAAGCATGTCAGCCTTAATAAGTGGTTGTTATGAAAATATTACAAAATTGCTTGATGAATGTAACATACATGACATATATGAAATGAGATAAATGATTAAAAAACGACTTCTTATAATTTAAGGAGAAAAAGATGGACTTCTGCTTGGAGACTCGGGATACCCATGCAAAAAGTACTTAATGACGCCATATATGAATCCCCAAACTGCTGCTCAAGAAAGGTATTGTTAAATCAACTATAATCTGGACATGATTATGCATGATAATAATTATACAATCATATTATTATGATACACTTTCCTATAAAACCTTTATATCAAATGCATGTACTTCAAAGTTAATTCTTTCATTAATTAAATAAATGTTTTGAATATCCTAATCAGTTTAAACAAAGTAGAGAAGAAATAATATTGGAGACATTATATTGAATTATTGTTTAAAAAGATTATTAATTTTGTTTGTCTTTTGTCAATTACATAGATTCAATTCATCATTAACAAAAACGAGGGTTACAGTAGAGCAGACATTTGGAGTCATGAAGAGGCGTTTCCCATGTTTAAGCTACGGACTGAAGGTGAAAACCTGCCACACACCACAGGCCATCGTTTCCTGTGTCATTTTACATAATTTTGGGATGGAGAGTGGCGACACATTTGAAAGACTAGTTAGTTTGTCTTTTGACTCTCCAGATAATGTTGATATTCAAACTGACCAAGCTGGAGCCAGGTATAGGGATGTATTTGCTTCTACATACTTTGCCTGAACTTTTGACAGTATATTTGCTCTCCTTTTTTAGCTAACGTGCCTCCAGATATTTTCTAAATAAGCATGTAACACTTGTGATAAAAACCATGACAAGTATGATTTTTGGGCAACGATAATCAATAATCTCTTAAATGTACTGAAAATCCCTTAAGAACATGTACCTTAAAATATTAATGGAGACCACACCTGTGAAGTTTGGTAAAAATCTGTCTTGTTGTTGAAGACAAGATGTTGTTTAATGTTACTGCTGTAAATGACAGACAACATACACATGAGTACAAAATACATGTATATTATCACTTTAGAAAATAAACAAGTTAACAGTTATATCCTCCAAGTTTAAAGCTATTAAATTGAATTAGTATTTAAATATGATAATGAGGAAAGTCAAATCTTTTCAGTGTTAATTTAATTGGTACATATGAAAATTTCTGTTTCATTTTGCTTGCAAATTCTCTCAGTAGCTGTAATAATCTGGATGCATGTTTCTTAAAAGGAAAGCAAATGCTGTACCTACATATATCATTTGATATTATTCTTTTTTATAAAACAGCAGTCATTGAAAATAAAAGGAACATAGCTTGAACATTTATATTCCATTTAATCTTAAATTTTTGGTAAAACAAGATAAATAAGAAAGCAACAAAGTTTATCACAGATTTAGAATCATCACAGCCAATACAAATCCTCTACTGATCTATCAGATGAGGTAACATACATGTATCAATGAGATATAATTGATTGTCTAAGAGTTAAAGTCAAGATAAAACGTCATCAAATTGTTTATATAGAGGCAACATTAAGCTCACCAATTTTTCTTACATATTCAGTCTGATATGCATAAAAAAATCAGCAATTCAAATTCATAACATTTTTAATATCTTACAAAAGGATTAAGGGCTGATTTTTGTTAACAAATAACATTTAAAATATATTAAGTATATTTACATCTTAAGACTGCTTGAAGCATTTTGTACAAATAGAATTCAAATCGAAGAAAAGAACTTTTGCCTGTGTCTCCCTTTAAAAGACATTATCACATAAACCGCGGCACAGGAGTGTATTAAAGCCATTTAATAAAAACGATATTACACTAGTGTTATAATCCTTTGATGTGACGTAGTTAGCGGTATATATAATACGTTGAAGCCCGCTAATGTTAGCGTTACATTATAGGCGAGTCATTGAAAAATTACTCATTTTCATAGTTTACTGTTCTTATTTCATATATGTGACAAATAGAATATTATATTTGTTTGGATTTTATAAAAAATACTCTTGTTTGTTATGCTTCTATCTTCAATTCAATGAACATCAGAAAAGTATGTTTAAAAAAGTAATATTCTATAGATTTCAGATTCTGATTAAACATTGCCAGATGAAAATGAGAGACAGCCACCAGAATCATTGGCAGAAAATTGTCTATTTCATCACATGTTCCGGTAAGAGATTTATGTGTTTATACATCACATGGTGGAGGAATATCAGAAAATTTTACAACCTTGCCTAATTTTACTGTGGACACAGAATTACCTTTTCATGTTGACAGATCATTAAAACAGATGTTGCTGCTAGTGTTAGTTTACAGTTGACACAAATGACATTGTTTGACTTTGAGACGTTAAAGTGACATTATGCCCATCCAAGGGTATATTGTGAGTGTTTAAACTAAAGATGAGGTAAATCTTGAAATAAAGATGCTAACTTCAATAGCACTTCAATTCACAAGAACGATATTAAGGTATGATCCACCTAATGATCCACCTAATGCATTACCTCCACTTTGAAGAATATTCAACTAGGCTAGAACTACTATCAACAGCATTGTAACCGAGGGGCGTGGGTTCAAGCCCCAGAAGCGGCAACTTTTTTTTCAATTAGTTAGTACTTTCATTCTCTTTTCTTTTAAAAATACCTGCATGCTTAAGAAACCTATTCGGCGGAATTCGTCACTTGCGTCACAGGCAAAATTATCATTTCTTTGTTTTGAATTTTTTACTCATTATTCTGTAATGTTCTCAAAATTAATACACTAGACAGTCACAGGAACAAAACTTTAGAGCATTCAGATTTCACAAAAGTTGTCACAGTGAACTCTGGAAATGTTAAAAAACATATAAAATGAATGACTTACACTTGTTTTAATCATACAATATCCACATCATCTAATATTACAACTTTCAGGGTTTGTTCAAGTCACATTAAGTATTTCAAAACTACTTGGTGATTCTGTCGGCGTCTAAATGTCGTTCAACATACGATTTAAGATATATTTACGCTCCAAACCCAAAATATATAGAATTTATACAGAAATCAATGCTTGGACTTTTAAATGTCATTTTAGCGTGATTTGAGTACATAAGATCATTTTGATATTTATCATCAATTAGCATGAGTAACCTTTTAAAGGATGTTCTGATCTCGACATTGCTTCATAAGGTATGTTTAATCAGTCCATACCTTTATATAGATAGTGCTCCAATGCCTCTTTCTTTGTATAAATATATTTATAAGTTTTTTAGACAAATTATACAAATTATACCAAAGCCATGCCAAGTATTGACGAATTGATTTTTGTTGCTTGCTTTATATTACTTTTATTTCTTTTTAAATTCAAAGTGTACTAAGTTGGAGAATAATGTCAAAAATGTATAATTATTATACACAGGTTGTAATATATAAATCATATGGAAAAGAGCGTTTATATGTATGTTTGACATTACAGTTTTCTTTCAAGACTTTCAAGACGATCCTATTAATAATTTTTAAATATAACTTTTATCAGTGTGAAGATATCTTCGGTTCTTCTTACAAAACTTTTTGTCCGAGTTCATGCGAAAGCAATGGGTTAATAAAGGGATATAATTCAATTGTAATAATGAACATCATTATAAAATATAAAATTCTGTTGGTAAATGGTACATAGGGTAAAGCAAAATGTCATACAATTCAGAATGAAAAACACACATCCCTTTCAAATGCCTAAACTCCTCATAATTCCAGTTGATATACGCAACCCGGTAATTACCAATAACCAAAAATACTCAACCTGCCTTCTAAGAACTCTATTTGAAGTTTATCGAGAACGTCGTAAATATTAATCTGCCGAATTCTGGCAGAAATTGGCCGATGGGTAAGATAACATATTTCAACAAAAATGCAATTTCCTACAGGACATTATTATGTCGAAAGCTTGTCTAGCTTTTGCACATGGTAAGTACAAAAGTAATAACTGTTGGGGGAAAAAGACGACTAAAGAAGCAGTAATGTTTTCACATAATTTGCATTGTTTTATAAAGTCTAGACGTTTGATTACATACCAGTGGCAGTATAGTTTAAAATGAATTATGGTGTTATTGAAGATGATTACAATTTCAGAGCTCACTATATTGAAAATACAGTTTCAAAAATTTATCTAGTCGCAAGGGTTAAATAGAGTTCTGTCAATTTTTCTACGGGTTATATATTTGTAATTTGTTATCGATTTCTTGGAAAGTTATTACAAATTGATATAATCAAATCTTAATCTTCCATCTTTTAAGACATAAACAATAATCTAACTCATAAGTGCATTCTGTTACCCGATAATAAGAGAACTCGGATCAAGTGTTCCTTAATTGTATGATAACGTAACAAACTTACGTAGCTTCAATGTATTATTAATTTTCCAGAAGTTTTTACCGATTTATTGTTATACTATTTTATGAAACGAGCAACGATTCCTTTATTTAGAAGCATGAAAACATTGTTTGTTTATTTAATTATTCATTTTACTAACGACGAATCCTTTCTTAACTGGATGTATCATGTCATTTTAAACAACCATTCTGCACTTTGATATTGTTTTTCTTTTATCAAGGTCATACATTACAAGCGTATTTTGAAATTATCATTGATTGATACCTTAAAAAATTTCAGAAAATTATGAACGCACTATATTATCTAAAAACAAATAACTTTTAAATGACTGATAATGTACTTGCATTTAAATATATTATACGACCGTGGATAAAGTAATTCATTTTTCAATCAAATGAAAAATTATTATAGCTTCTAAACAATTGTCGATTTAAAGTACAATTCTATTCGTATTTTGTTTTCTTTTTTTAAATAGATAAATAATATTCTATTTTTGTCAATCCTGACGATGATAAGGAATTATGTTACTTTAAACAGTAATGTCGTAAACTATGCTCAAAGATAACGATTTTGTTTGATTTAACTCTTTGTACATCAAACAGTCGACAATATTTTAAAGGGATCATAAACATAGGATGTTTGGTGTTTATATAACTATATTATCCTTCAGCGTCATTGCTGGTAATATGAAGAATTTTTTCTTGCATAACATAATAATTGTTAAGGGTTGTGCTGTTGTTGTTGTTAATTTAGTGCTTTGGTTTTGATATTTATTTTATAATTATAATTATTTTATTTGATTATAAAACAACTAAAATTTGATGTTTCACAGGAGTAAGTTTAGCGGTGCCAGTCGGATATTTCGCCAATATTTGCATTCCGACACTTCGAGATAAATGTTCAACGATTCCAAACAAAACTGTTTGCTACGACGGAATGGTATACAATGATTGGTAAGCATTTTTTTCAAAGATATATTTGAATCACACGTTGGTATATCTTTAAAATCAGTGATCAATGTTGCTCAGGAGCTTTTGTAAAACAATTGAAAATTAATTTCAGTATGAAATTAAACATTTAGTACTAACAAAAATAAAATAATAATTTTAAATAAATAAATGCATCTTAAACAACAAATTTTTAAAAAATTTAAAAAATTATTTTTAAAATTCCTCTTTTCCTCCGTAAGTACAATAAATTTTAAAATATTTTAAAGTGAAATATAGTTTTTAAAAATATTTAAGGATTAAATTCAAAAATTTGTTGTTCGCTTGTTTTATTATTATCACACAGCCCCTTCTGTCAAGTCGCATATTTGCACTTCTATACTCATTGTTCAAAATTGTTTTAATTAATTTAAGCCGGGAGTGAGGGGGAAAAAAAGAGTTTGCTTTTCCCAAGAAACTGTTGTTTTTTTAAAACCTTTTTATGCTTCTTTGGGGTTTCTAAAAAATAAAAAAAAAACAATATAAATATAAAAACGTTTTTTTAATTGGTAGGTCTTTTTTCTGAAGGCGGGTTTTGACGGATTACTCCGCCCAAATGTTACAAGTTTACACTTACCCGTCAATTCTTCATGTGACGTTGCTATCCTTATACGGCAACATACCACAAATGCACCTCATGTAGCGACCACCCCTACGTACACATTCTTCGAGGTATAGTCTAAATAACATTTAATGTTTTTTTTGTATAACTGGCTTATATAGCCTTGCATGATGAATATAGGACACTTTTAACTTTCCGTATCTTCAAAATACAGCATTGTATATTAATTTTTGCTTTTACGTCAAAGACACGAATAGAATACGTATTAAACGAACTTTTATGACGCGAAATTATTTGCATCTTTTCTCCGACCGGGTTTATATCTGGTAAGATATTTCAGACAGAAATATCCAAAGTCTAAAATTGCTTTTGAAAGAGGAACATCTGCAATATCACCATAGAA